AAAAAAGATGAGACAATTGGGGTTAAATTATTTGTGCTAGGTGACACATGTAGTAAATGACAAATTGAGGATTCTCCAAAGCTGCTCCTTGCAACAGTCTTATACATAAAGGAAATAAGCTACAAGAGTAATAGATGAGTTTTGGTGAAATGATAAATCCTTAGTGAGATAAGCCTCTGAGGACCAAGTATGATTTTTTTTAACCTAGCTATCCTTTTCAATTGGAAAAAAAAGTTTGTAAGTTCTGCCTTATTGTGCATTACATGATAAAGTGATATTCTCACATGTGAAAAAAGCATTCAAGGGTTTTGAGCAAAGTAATGATAGAATTTGCTTTCTTTTAAACTGTTAATTTGGCAGACAAAATATAGGGTAGAGACAGAATAATGAAGAAGGCTTTGCAATAGTTGAAGCAAGAGATGATGATAGTTTGGGCTTTATTCCATAGGCTTCTTTGACACTTTTTCCTAGAAATGGCAAGAAGTGTTGAATTTGGAATGAATTGTAAAAGTGGGGGCAACACTATTTTCTGAATGATTGGATTATGGGGAGGGAGGAAAGAAGAAAGAGAAGAGATGGGAGACAGGGATAATTCCAAGGTTTTGACCTAAACAACTGGAAGAATCACATTGATGTTTCCTGAAATAGCAGAGAGAACCCTTCTGGGATAGATATGAAGACAGACCACAGTTTATGTGGCCATTTTAAGGTTTAGACTTCAAGGTAATGACCATGAAACTAAAAATGAAAATGGGTGTATATCACCCTGGATATAAATGTGAGAATCATCCATATAGACTTGATAAATTACAGCCATGAGATTGGGTGAGAATATGAGGAAAGAGTGATTATAGAGAAAAGCCTTAAGTGGAATTCTGAGACTTCAGAGTCTAGAGAAAATTAGAATTAGGAAGGGAATAGCCACAGGGACTGAGGAAGAGGAGCCAGTGAAGTGGGAGAAGCGAGAGTGGTGTCCATAGAAGACATATGAAGATATGACCAAAAAGGAGGAAGTAGTCAGATATGACCAACTTTTCAGATAGAGTATGTCAAATAAAATTGAAAAATGGCTATAGAATTAGGCAATGGGGAAATCCATTGATAACCTTGACAAAAGCATGATCAGAGAAAATCCTCTTTCTTAAAACAAGAAAGTGTGAAACCATTCACTTAAAAAAATATCAGTTCTTTTCTAAATTTTTAATTCTAAGTGAAGTATCTTGCAGTTTTAATAAAAATGTAAGCATATTATCCTTTACTATTAAATCTAGATATTTTAATTATATAAATAATTTTAACTCCTTTATTTGTCAACATTTTATTATCTGAATGCCAAGGAAAGCTTTAATATTCTTCTTCTTCATGTTTGTTGTGTTCTTGGTTTTTAGAGGGCAAAAAGGGCATGACCTGTATAGACAGACCCAGGTTTCAGGCCAAACTTCACTAATTATTAGTTGTACCATTGTTTGCAAGGAGTTGTATTTCTTCTAATCTATTTCCTTGTTGGAACAGGTAATAACTATTTTAAAACATAGTAGATACGATGAGAACATATGTGAAGTTTCTAATGAAATGTTTAGCAAATAATAAAATAATATAGTAAATATGAGCTGAGATTATGAGTCACAGAGACCTAAGTTCCACCCCAGAGCTTACATATACTATATGTGAAAATCAGGGCAACCTTCTTGACTCTCTTAAACCTTTGTTAGCTTATCTGTAAAATTGATGTGATCAAATTATCTACCCTATATGGTAACTAGAATTAAATTAAATATTTCATGCAAAGTTCTTACCAGTCTTAGACAAAATGAGTGCTCCATAAATGGTAGCTGCTATTATTATTTATACTTATGGTTCTATAATTATCCTTGCTATTATAGTTATTTCAAGAATAAAACCTTAGTCTTAGTTCTTAAACTCTGAGTTTCTAATCATACTTGATATCAAGTATAATTTATATAGTGTTTGTATTTCTTTTGTTGCATGTTTGTTTTCCTTAATAATTTTATTGTTGTCTTCCATTAGTAATATTAAAAATCTTACATGGTTAATTAGCAGCTAGTTTGTCATTTTTTAAGTTACATTGCTCATCACTTGGAAAATCTAAATAGATAGAGTCAGAAGAAGAAATATGTATGATAGGATTCTTTATCCTCTACTATCCCCCCTCCCCTCCCCTCCCCTCCCCTCCCCTCTTCTCTCTCTGCCCCCTCTACTGACATTCATTTGTCCCCCTTGTATTATTTTTCCCTTTTCCCTCACTTCCTCTTGTATGTACTTTTGTATAACTCTGAGGGACCTTCCATTTCCATGCAATTTCCCTTCTCTCTCCCTTTCCCTCCCACCTCTCATCCCTGTTTAATGTTAATCTTCTTCTCATGCTCTTCGACCCTACTCTGTTCTTAGTTACTCTCCTTATATCAAAGAAGACATTTGGCATTTGTTTTTTAGGGATTGGCTAGCTTCACTTAGCATAATCTGCTCTAGTGCCATCCATTTCCCTGTAAATTCTATGATTTTGTCATTTTTTAATGCAGAGTAATACTCCATTGTGTATAAATGCTACATTTTTTTTTATCCATTCATCTATTGAAGGGCATCTAGGTTGGTTCCACAGTCTTGCTATTGTGAATTGAGCTGCTATGAACATCGATGTAGCAGTGTCCCTGTAGCATGCTCTTTTTAGGTCTTTAGGGAATAGACCAAGAAGGGGAATAGCTGGGTCAAATGGTGGCTCCATTCCCAGCTTTCCAAGAAATCTCCATACTGCTTTCCAAATTGGCTGCACCAATTTGCAGTCCCACCAGCAGTGTACAAGTGTACCCTTTTCCCCACATCCTCGCCAGCACTTGTTGTTGTTTGACTTCATAATGGCTGCCAATCTAACTGGAGTGAGATGGTATCTTAGGGTGGTTTTGATTTGCATTTCTCTGACTGCTAGAGATGGTGAGCATTTTTTCATGTACTTGTTGATTGATTGTATGTCCTCCTCTGAGAAGTGTCTGTTCAGGTCCTTGGCCCATTTGTTGATTGGGTTGTTTGTTCTCTTATTGTCTAATTTTTTGAGTTCTTTGTATACTCTGGATATTAGGGCTCTATCTGAAGTGTGAGGAGTAAAGATTTGTTCCCAGGATGTAGGCTCTCTATTTACCTCTCTTATTGTTTCTTTTGCTGAGAAAAAACTTTTTAGTTTGAGTAAGTCCCATTTGTTGATTCTAGTTATTAACTTTTGTGCTATGGGTGTCCTATTGAGGAATTTGGAGCCCGACCCCACAGTATGTAGATCGTAGCCAACTTTTTCTTCTATCAGACGGCGTGTCTCTGATTTGATATCAAGCTCCTTGACCCATTTTGAATTAACTTTTGTGCATGGCGAGAGAAAGGGATTCAGTTTCATTTTGTTGCATATGGATTTCCAGTTTTCCCAGCACCATTTGTTGAAGATGCTATCCTTCCTCCATTGCATGCTTTTAGCCCCTTTATCAAATATAAGGTAGTTGTAGTTTTGTGGATTGGTTTCTGTGTCCTCTATTCTGTACCATTGGTCCAGCAGAACACAACAGACACTAGTATGGCAATATGTAAATCAATGGATGTGTAACTGATGTAATTCTGCAATCTGTATATGGGGTAAAAATGGGATCTCATAACCCACTTGAATCAAAGTGTGAAATATGATATATCAAGAACTATGTAATGTTTTGAACAGCCAACAATAAAAAATTAAAGAGTTTCAACACACACACACACACACACACACACACACACACACACAAAGGATTCTTTAGAAGTTACATGAGTGAATCAGAAATGGCTCTTAGCCATTTTGCCTAAAACTGTGCTTAAAAATATCTGAACACATCTACAAAGGAGGAAACTGATTTAATTGTTGGAAAAATTAAAAATGAAAACGAAGGATGGTTTCGATCAATAAACAAACAATAGATTTTACATAAAAATAATGAGATAGCTTTGATGACAAAACTCAGACTTTTTCCTTCAAAAAGACCACGGGAGTCATCTTAGTTCTTGATTTAATTGATGAAAGAATACAAAATTTATGAGTGATTTTGTTGTCTTGTCCAGGGTTAAGTGCTGGAAGGAATAATTTTCTGACTCCAGTTTAAATACTCTTCTCATTAAAACACACTTAGTTCCAGTCAGTTATTGTTATAAATAAAATGAAGGAAAATATTGAGTAAAAGAAATGTTGAAATGACACAGTGAGGCAGTGTAAGTGATGTAAAACTTGAGGATATTGATTTATGTTGTAAGGTATTCTATTTTTCTCCAGTAATGTTTTATAAGTTAAAAACCTAGAAAAGGACTTTTGTTTTAAAATAATTTTGTTTAAAACTATAATTAAAGCAACTAATTATCATTGGAGAAATTAATGGCAGAAATATTTGGGGAATTAGTTTAAAAGCAAATCTCTAAATGGAGATTTGTGTGTGTCAGATTTTCTGTAATTAAGTGGTATTAATACATATATGTAAAATTCTTCCTAAGTGTAAAACTAAATTATGTATTTTGAAATAAGAAAAATACAGTTCAATAATTGTACTTTGAAAAAAATGAAATATGTGCATTTTATGAAGCTAACTCCTTATTGTAGAAACTTTGGTAAACTGGAAAAGAGTAATTTGACAATTTTTGAAACTTATTTAAATGATGAAAAATCAGCAATTTTATTTACTATAACTTGTAATCTTATGTCATCAAGTAAATTTGTGTCTGTGTTTGTGAGAAATCTTTTAACAACTTTATATTTATATATAAGTTTACTCTTTGTTAAATTTCTGTCTATGGTTTAGTAATATCATGAACTAACATTTTCATCTATTTCAAGTTAACTAAGAATTATTTTATTCAAAAGAATTATAAATAGGAACTTCTTTAGTGGATGTTTATATTGTTTATCTTCATGACATGAAACTCTGAAGTAATTATATCTTTTTCCCAGATTGTTAATTTTGTTTCTTTTTCTTGTTTTATAGAGCTACATTCATGGGAGCAGCCAGGCTCAATTCGTGGCGGAGTCACACATTATTCTGGTACTGAGTATCCTTTAATACAACTGATGAATTGAAAAGGGAAAAACAAAGCTGCATACTGTCAAGTTGATTTTATTTCTGGCAGTAAATATGAAGACTTTTAAAAGATATTAAATTTTAAACTTTATGATTAGCTTTCTAATTCCTTTGCTAATTTCCTATTACAGTGTAATTTTATTGTTATGCTGAATCATTAACAAACTATAATTTTCTTTTTTCTTCTTCTTTTTCAACTGACTTGAATCATAAATATTGCTTTTATTCTACCTTGACTACTACTGGCTAGATATTTAGTTTGTTTATGTGGTTTTCACTGCAGGATCCCTGTGACATAAATAGCATAAAAAAATAAGCAGTTATCTTCTATGTTCTGTATGCATTAAGTGAAATAGCACACATAAAACATTTAGTACTCATAAAAGACTATTTGGTTTAATTTCCTTTTTTTTTCTTTCATCTTTCTCATTCAGAATTTTACTAGGTTGCAGATAGTATGCATAAATACATATTTGTTGTTTTTTTCTTTAGCACCAAACAAGGTATAGATGACCAGAAGAATATTCCATATATTTGTAAGAAATGTAGCCTGAACTATCAATCACAGTGTTACTTTTTTTTTAATTTTTTAATATTTATTTTTCAGTTTTCGGTGGACACAACATCTTTATTTTATTTTTATGTGGTGCTGAGGATCGAACCCAGCGCCCCGCGCATGCCAGGTGAGCGCGCTACCGCTTGAGCCACATCCCCAGCCCCACAGTGTTACTTTTTAAAAAAATTTTTTTAGATGTTGATGGACTTTTATTTTTATTTATTTGTTTATATGCAGTGCTGAGAAATGAACCCAGTGCCTCACACATGCTAGGCAAGTGCTCTACCACTGAGCCACAACCCCAGCCCAATCACAGTATTACTGAAGTATTCGAAATGTTTAAATTTTTCCAGAGGAATATTTATTGAACCCTTCTAATCATGTACTTTACGGGATAATGAAAAAAAAAAAATACTGTTTTAAGACTGAACTTTAGAAATGAAGTTTGAAGAGATTCTAAATGTCCAGTTTATCCTCTGGAAGCTAAATGTTGTGTTTCTGAAATTCATCTAGAAAACATTATCATCTTTTTCCTCTGTGTAATTTCTCAAAATTTTATTTTTTCCCATCTTAATTACCATATTTGGATGCACACACAGAATTAGGTATATCTATAGCTGATGCCTTGTTTGCATTACCTGTGCACATAGGATATCAAAATTGAGAAACTTCCATGATGAAACTAAAAAGAACAAACCTAAAATTCATATGAAAGCAAAGGAGACAATGAATAGCCAGCCAAAACAATCCTGATCAAAAGGAGTGAGGCTAGAGACATCATAATACCTTATTTCAAACAGTACTTAAAACAGAATGGTAATGGCATAAAAACAGAAGTTTATTCCAATGGAATAGAGAGCATAGAAATAAACCTCATACAGCTATAGGTGTATTATTCTTAACAGAGGTACCAAAAACATACACTGGCAAAAAGTCAGCTGTATATAGGGAATTGAAACTAGATCCCTCTCACAAAAACAACTCCAAATGGATCAAACACCTAAAATGTAAGTCCCAGAACTTTGAAACTGCTCAAAGAAAACAGGAAAAATCCTTAAAGATATAAGCAAGACAACAGCTTTCTGAATATGACTTTAATAGCTAACTGAGTGTAGTGGCTAATGCTTCTAATCCCAGCAACTCAGGAGGCTGAAGCAGGAGGATCACAAATTCAGGGCCAGCCTCAGGAAATTAGCAAGGCCCTAAGGAACACCAAAAAAAGTAATAATCCTATCAATAATTGAGCAAAGGAACTGAACAGACACTCTCAAAAGAAAAAAGTACAAATGACCTTTAAATATATGGAAAAAATACTTGATTTCTTTAGCTATCAGGAAAATACAAAACTATATTGAGATTCTTGCTATCATCAAGAATATACAAAATAATAAGACTGATGAGAATAAAGGGGAAAAGAAACCCCTGTGCATGGTGTGAATGTAAATTAGTATAGTCACTATGTAAATCAACATGGTGGTTCCAAAAATAACTAGAACTACCATATGATTTAGCTATTCTACTACTGGGTATCTGCCCAAAAGAATTAAAGTCAGAATACTCTATAGAGATAACTGTATAATTCAAAATAGCCAAGTGATGGACTCACCCTAGGTGCCTGTCAGTATATGCACAATAGAGTAATATTCAGAACGAAATGGCATGTGTTCCCTCATTTGGAATCTAAGGGAAAGAAAAAGACAACATGAAATAACAGGGAGAAGAGAAGGGCATTAGGAGGATCACAGGGGAGTAGATATGATATTTTCATATACTAATATTTGTATTATATTTCATAGTATATTTGCATATACTAATGAAATCCATTGTTCTGTGTAATTAAAAGGCACTGATTTAAGAGAAAAAAAAAAAGAGAATTGTTCCACGGTAGAGGAGGCTAAAGACACATGACAACTTAATGGAATATGTTATTCTGGACTAGATTCTATAATAGAAATTTAAAATAAAAATAAAGTCACAGGGGCTAGGGCTGTGGCTCAGCAGTAGAGCGCTTGCTTAGCACGTGCCAGGCACTGGGTTAAATCCTCAGCACCACATAAATATAAATTTTAAAAAAGGTATATAAAAAAAAGCTTTAAAATATAAAGTTACAGAGAATACTATTGGATAAACTAACAAAATCAAATGTATATGAAATATTAGTAAAAGGTTTTATGCCAATGTTAAATTTACTGAACACGATAAATAAGTACATAAAGTAATTTTCCTAATATACAATGGAATGTTCTCTAAAAAAAGAAAAAAAAATTGTGATGATGAGTATTTTTTTGCTTTAGTTTTTCCATAGATTGGAATTGGAAATATCTACATTTGAATATACATTTCTCATATTTTGTGATCTTGTTTAAACAGTACTATATTTCTAGACTCCAGCTTTAATATGGTAAATGTTAGTGTTTTTTTGTGTATAAGAGGAGCCTTAAATGAGAAAATGAAATATATATATGAACATGTCAGTTTTCCTCTTTATTAAATAATAAAGGCATAGCCTTATTTAGCCTTTATTTTTTTTTTAAAGTTTGTCTATGAAAATACATTTGTGCTAAAACAAATGGTAAAAAATACCAAGTATTTGTTGCAGGTAAATTGATTTATGCTAAAACAAATGGTAAGAAACACCAAATATTTATTGAGGTTAAATTGTTTTAAACTCTTATTTACGTACATATTATTGTTTCATTTTTTCATGTTCTCTAATTTGTTTCAGTCCATGGGCTATACTTTATCCAAAGAAGCAAGTCTATTAAAACACATCAGGAATACCTAGCAATGAAAAGCTGTGTTGAGACTATTATTCCATTGTGTGGCAGGAATTCGCCAAGTTTTCATTTCACAGATCATTGACATCAAGCTGAGATTTAGGATGCGAAGACATTTCACAAGCAGTATGAAGTGTTCAATATATATTTTAGCAGGAATACAGAAAAGAATTAAAAGTCCCTGTTTTCTATATGCCAGCAGTAATTATTTGCTTTATTTCTCCTGTGTATTTTTATTTTAGAGATATAATAGATATATAAAGAGAAAGAAAAAAATTCTTTTAAAACCATGGACTTATTAATATTATCAGTAAATGTTTAAAAATACCATTTTATGGTAATTTCTTATTTTAATTTCACTTGAGAAAGTCTACAGGTATTTTTGAACTTAGCACATTTTAAAAATTTTACATATGTATTTTTTCTGTTAGTGCAAAAAAAGTAAATATCAGATGGTTAGTTTGTGTTTATCTGTACAGAATATTTCTGCCTTTTGGTTTCCTCCTTCTAATTTGGTGAGTCAGATTATTAGATGCAGTTGCTATATACAAAGTTTTGTTGTAAAAACCTAAGGGAAAAGAGACGAAGTTTTTTGGTGTCATTGGTTAGAAATTCATATTTAATCTCAGTAAGATTTTTCTTTTTATCAGTAGTGGTTTTTTTTCTTATTGTGTTGTTTTTATCCTTTTTAAATAATAATTCTAAGTATTGTATAAAAGAAAACTATGACAAAAGAATAATGAAGTATTGCAGGAGGCAGCTATAGAAGAGCAGCTTGCTGCCTAGAGAAGTTTGACTAACTTTTCAGCTCTGTTTTGAAGTGCAAAAAGGAGACTCACAAAGGAGTGCAATCAGTGCAGAAGTACATATTGAAATTTAGGTGCCTTATTTATTCATTCATTCACTTATGGTACTGGGGATTGAACCCAAGGGTGCTGAAACCACTGAGTCACATCCCCAGCTCTTTTTAGTGTTTTATTTAGAGACAGGGTCTCACTGAGTTGCATAGTGGCTTTGAACTCGAGATCCTCCTGTCTCAGCCTCCTGAGCTGCCAGGATCACGGGTGTGCACCACCAAGCCCAGCCCCTTATTAATTCTTCAGGATGTATTGTAAGGTTGTAACCAGATTGCCTGATAAATTTTGATGTGGAGAGATAAATAGTGTCACATCTTTTTTCTGTTCAAGCAGTCAATCAAGGAGGTTCGTTCTACATTGAGGATAGAGTTCAAAAGAGAGAGCAGAGAAATTGGGAGGTACTAACAATTGACTGTAGAGGAGAAACTTAAATAATGATGAGTGACTCAGTGACTCATTGAAAGTAAGAAACATCAAAACTTGATGGTATGTGTTACAAGTGAGGTTCATGAATAGGAATAACATGACTCAGGAATTCAGAAATGTATTGGAGGATAGCTTTACATTAACAATCTTAAGAAATACAGGAGGAAAATAAGGCATGAAAAGAAATAAGCCTAACAAATTCTTAAGTTTAATAGGCTTCATATTTGATGGATGAAAAGGGTTTACTTTGTTTAGAGTGCTTAATATCATAATGTCAATCAGTTGCATAGTGAAGAATAAATTTTTCAACCCATTTTTTGTACTCATATTTTCCCAGTAGGTCAAAATTTCTGTG